AGTCTCCTTCTTTGGAGGTCTTTAAGCAGAGGCTTGACAACCATATGTCAGGAGTGCTCTGAGGGTGTTTCCTGCTTGGCAGGGGGTTGGACTCGATGGCCCTTGTGGTCTCTTCCAACTCTATGATTCTATGATTCTTTGCTGGGAATTCTGCTTCTTTCCATTTTGGGGGCGGGTAGCATTCTTGCCGCGATAGTTGCCTACATGAATAAGTTTCTATACAGTTAGGGTAGTTCTGTCCCTATAATTCCTAAAAGAAAAGCTTCGGGGTGTGTGTGTGTGTGCGTGTGTGTGTGTGTGTGTGTGTGTTTACAAACATCATTTTAAACATCCTTTTCATTTCATTATATATCATTTCCCAGAACAGCATTTTCAGGGATATCCAATGTGGTGCTCTCCAAATGTTGCTGGAGTCCAGCTCCCAACCTCCAAAGCCAATAGCCAGGGATTATGGGAGCAGTAGTCCAGCAACATCTAGAAGGCATCAGGTTGGCCAGCTGTCAAGTACGGGACTTCCCCTCTCCCTTCTGGTAGCTCACCAATAAGAATTAATGAGCATTTGGTAGATTTATAGTCTTTTTATTACAGTATCATGTTGCGAGCACAGACAGGCAACTCTCTGCAAGCATGGCAGTTGCTCACTCTGCCTCCTCCCCACTTCTGCAGCAAGAAGCACGCCAACGGGATGTCCCTCCTCCCAGAGGCGGAGCAACCTGCTCCAGTACCCAGAGTGGCACTCGTCCGAGGGGGCATGGCACGCATCCCGGGGGCATGCGTGGTGAGTGGCGCACGCCCTGGGAGGTGCCACAATCGGGGGTCGGCATTTTGTCACCCCCCCTTTGGAATGGCACCTGGGGCGGCCTGTCCCCCCGCCGCCGCCTCAGAATGTCCCTGCATCTGCTTTGTTCTCTGACACACTCGGACCTCCGAGTTCAGGGGGAGGGAGGGTGTTCCTCCCACTCTTGATTTATGTATCGCCCAGCTGGTCCCTCCCTTCTGGTTGCTTAGCTACTATCTCAAAGCTGGGTAGCTCCTCTCTCAACTGAGCAGTGTCTGTCTCCTCCTGCCTGTCTGCTTCTGGAAACACTCTTCTGTTAAGATTTCCCAATCTTCTGATCCAGACCAGCCCCTGACACCAGCTCTGGTCTACACTCTGATAGGCACTGCTCTCCAGGGTTTCAGGCAGAGACATGCCCAGCCCTACACGGAGATGCTGGGGATCTTTCACATGCAACAGAGATACTCTACACTTATGACCTGTTCCCAATCCTATGCACATTTACTTGGGACTACCCCCCATGGAACACAGTGGGACATTTCTGAATAAACATGTATAGGATTGTATTGTGGTTGTGGATATGATGTTACAGACTGTGCTGGATTAACTTTTAGGTCTACTAGGCTGTTTTGTAGAGAAGCTCAATACTATAATGCACTAGTCGGTGCCTTATCTCTAGGTGTTTGGAAGCAACCTGAACTGTGGATCTGGCAAGCAACTCACTTGAAAGGTGAGTTTACTCTACTCGAGCAAGTAAGCAAAGAAGCTAACATCAAGCAAATGTATGAAGCTCATGACACTTCCACGTGGAGGTTAAGGACTATGGCTGGTCCTTCATCTCAGTTGTGGCAGTAAATGAGCCAAGACTGAGCCAAGGCAAGGCAAGCTCAAGGTGGTAAATGAAGACACCGTGTTCAGTATCTTCCACCAATCTCATAGTAGAAGGTGTGGATGTAGATTGTGAGAGGTTGCCAAAGCTAAAGCTAAATGCAGCTGTAAACACTGGGCAGAGAAATCCAAATAAATTATCCAAATAATTTTTATTGGTTTTCATGTGGATACAAGAACAACATATAACTACAGTAATTTGTCTAGTGGTATATAGAAATGGAATTTGAAGAAAGGAACAATGGACTAACTAGACAAGAAATGAGTGCCAACTCTACGTATCTGGCATTATATCTGGCTTGCCCAGACCAAAGACCTCTGCCTATTAGGCACTGCCTGCCTTTGTGTGAAAGGTCTTTGAATATCCTTGAATATAACTTACTGCCAGAGCCTCAGGTGTGATGTAATAAGTACATGGAGATCCTGAACCAATGAGCTTCCATATTCACTTCAATGGACAGGGCAGCTCCATCTGCATTCCTTCCCCTGCTACTTAAACAATTGATCTTCTGGCCAGACAGCTCTGCACACACTGAAGTCCCTGTGCTCACTGCTAATTCCTAGATCAAGTGTCAGTACTTATGTCTTTCATTTTACATCCAACAGTTGTGTTGGGTGGTTTTTTTTATTAAAAAGAAACATTCATTGTGTTTTGGGCGATTTGTGCACATGTAGTCAAACACACACACACACACACACACACACACACACTGGAATCTATTTGTTTTCTGCCAATTTCTAATTTTCTCAGTTTATTGTTTTTATCTAGTTCCATAATATATTTTATAACAGAATCAACACAGAAAGCCAAGTTATTTCCTCAGTAATTTCTTTTATATGCAAACATTTCATATTATACATTAAACTGTGAGTTGTAGCCAATGTTAGTTTTACTCAGTGCAGACCCATTGAACTTAATGGCCATGATGAAGTTAGGTCCATTAGTTTTAATGGGTGTACTCTGAGTAAAACCTAGTTGGATGTAACCCTGTGTTTGTATTTCTGAAGCTGTTCTATTCTTTGGAAGCTATTGTATTTAATTTGAGTAAGGGTATTATTGGCTAATGGACTGTTACAAGAGACAGCAACTTAATTTTAATGAGTTGCCTGCATTAGATCTAAAGCAGGCGTGGATCTCTGCCTTAGGAACAGCTGAAGTTGGTCATGTCAACAAGACGGAACTTGACTCCTCATAGGCTGCAGCACCCACACAAATAAGAGTGTGCAATGTTTTCAGAGAATACACACATAAAGAGAAGGTATCATTAGCATCTTAGTGGAGTGTGATGGATAACATCTGTCCTACTTTTCATCAATTTGGAAAGTGCCACCCAACGAGGGGCCTTTTTAAACTAGGTTGCATCCAGACAACTCACCCAGTTCTGTGCACTACTTAAAGTGGCTGATAAATCATTTGATGCAAAGTCTACAGAAGTGGTAATTCAAGCTGACCACAGACCACCAAATAACATATTGTGGCCAGGCTGCATGATCCTTGACAAACCATCAGTTTTCAAAGTCGCAGACAAGTCGCAAAACCAATAAGCCCTGGTGGTCTGCGATGCACATATGGTGGATTGCAGTCAGTTTGATGCTTGTCAGTGATGTAGGCTTGATTAAGTAGGAGTAAATAAGATGAGGTTAGTCATTGTCACCAAAGTACAAAGTGTTGCAAAGTTTCTTCATTCACTGTTTGGTTTGCTAGTCTGTAAGCTGCTTTTCGATTCCTGGCCTCCAGCATTTATTTTTTTTACAGGATTGACAAAAAATACAAATGTGGCCATGACAGGGCTTGAGGAAAGTGGTCTTGTGACAGAAGAGCAAGCGGAGGAGTGATTGACAGTAGAGAATGGAATGTTGGGTAGTGTGAGTGACAGGTGGAGAGTGTCGGTTGGGAAATAACTGCTGAAAGGAGAGAGTGACTAGGGGAGGGATTGAGAAAGAGGGAAGGAGATGAGGAGAGAATGAAAGCGTATGTCAAAAGAGATAGAATCACTGTTAAGGAGAATAGTTATTTACATGAGGATATGATATTAGAATTATGAGGACTCTATACGCAATGACGGATTGCTCTGGATTTCATGTTGCTTAAATAAATGTACAAAGATTTCCATAATAAAAGACAAAAGTGGAAAGGACCTAACAGAAGCAGAAGACATCAAGAAGAGGTGGCAAGAATACACAGAGGAACTATACCAGAAAGAAATGGATGTCTCGTATACCCCAGGTAGTGTGGTTGCTGACCTTGAGCCAGACATCCTGGAGAGTGAAGTCAAATGGGCCTTAGAAAGCACTGCTAATAACAAGGCCAGTGGAAGTGATGGTATTCCAGCTGAACTATTTAAAATTTTAAAAGATGATGCTGCTAAAGTGCTACACTCAATATGCCAGCAAATTTGGAAAACTCAGCAGTGGCCAGAGGATTGGAGAAGATCAGTCTACATCCCAATCCCAAAGAAGGGAAGTGCCAAAGAATGCTCCAACTACTGCACAATTGCACTCATTTCACACGCTAGCAAGGTTATGCTTAAAATTCTACAAGGCAGGCTTAAGCAGTATATGGACCGAGAACTCCCAGAAGTGCAAGCTGGATTTCGAAGGGGCAGAGGAACCAGAGACCAAATTGCAAGCATGCGCTGGATTATAGAGAAAGCTAGAGAGTTCCAGAAAGACATCTACTTCTGCTTCATTGACTATGCAAAAGCCTTTGACTGTGTCGACCACAGCAAACTATGGCAAGTTCTTAAAGAAATGGGAGTGCCTGATCACCTCATCTGTCTCCTGAGAAATCTCTGTGTGGGACAAGAAGCTACAGTTAGAACTTGATATGGAACAACTGATTGGTTCAAAATTGGGAAAGGAGTACGGCAAGGCTGTATATTGTCTCCCTGCTTTTTTAACTTATATGCAGAATTCATCATGCGAAAGGCTGGGCTGGTTGAATCCCAAGCCAGAATTAAGATTGCCGGAAGAAATATCAACAACCTCAGATATGCAGATGACACAACCTTGATGGCAGAAAGTGAGGAGGAATTAAAGAACCTTTTAATGAGGGTGAAAGAGGAGAGCGCAAAATATGGTCTGAAGCTCAACATCAAAAAAACGAAGATCATGGCCACTGGGCCCATTACCTCCTGGCAAATAGAAGGGGAAGAAATGCAGGCAGTGAGAGATTTTACTTTCATGGGCTCCATGATCACTGCAGATGGTGACAGCAGTCACGAAATTAAAAGACGCCTGCTCCTTGGGAGAAAGGCGATGGCAAACCTAGACAACATCTTAAAAAGCAGAGACATCACCTTGCCAACAAAGGTCCATATAGTAAAAGCCATGGTTTTCCCAGTAGTGATGTATGGAAGTGAGAGCTGGACCATAAAGAAGGCTGATCGCCGAAGAATTGATGCTTTTGAACTGTGGTGCTGGAGGAGACTCTTGAGAGTCCCATGGACTGCAAGAAGATCAAACGTATCCATTCTTAAGGAAATCAGCCCTGAGTGCTCACTGGAAGGACAGATCGTGAAGCTGAGGCTCCAATACTTTGGCCACCTCATGAGAAGAGAAGACTCCCTGGAAAAGACCCTGATGTTGGGAAAGATTGAGGGCACAAGAAGAAGGGGACGACAGAGGACAAGATGGTTAGACAGCGTTCTCGAAGCTACAAACATGAGTCTGACCAAACTGCAGGAGGCAGTGGAAGATAGGAGTGCCTGGCGTGCTCTGGTCCATGGGGTCATGAAGAGTCGGACACGACTAAACGACTAAACAACAACAAGTAAATGTTGGAAGCTGAACATTGAAAGATACAGGGCATACAAAAGGAAGTACTACAAGCATGGTTAAGCTTTGGCATTTGCCCCTACAAGAGGTTGTGATGGGCAGCAACGTAATTGGCATTAAAAGAGGATTAGACAAATTCATGGAGGATAAGGCTATGAATAGCTACTAGCCACCACTGTTGGAGGCAGCATGCCTCTGAACACCAGTTGCCTGGAATCACAGGTGGAGTGTGTGTTGCTGAGGTCAGGATTTGCTTGCACCTTTCAGGTTTCCTATTGCCATCTGGTTGGCCAATGGGACAGTAATATATCTGTTCAGTATAATGCAATTGTTTTCAAACCATGGGATGTGGCTGCCTCTCGAGAAGAAGAAGAAGCCAAGATCTAGGTGGGTTCAATGTTGCCTGGAAGTGATCTTGTGAGTAAAGCCCCAACATCACAATGTAGTTTAGGAAGAAGGACATTGTTCTGTTTCACTGTGTATGACTGGATAGCTCAATTGGTTAAAGTGTGGTGCTGATCACGCCAAGGTTGCAGGTCCGATCCCCTTATGGGACAGCTGCATATTCTTGAATTGCAGGAGGTTAGACTAGATGATCCTCAGAGTCCCTTCCAACTCTATGACCCTCAGACAAATGAAACAGAATTTGCGACCCAGCTGAAGGAGGAGATGAGAGGTATCTTCCTCTTTTCCTGTTCTAATGCCAGGGTGGGATTACGACCCCAGCCCACAGGTGGTTGCATACACACCACTACACTGAAGGATCTCTGCAAAGTGAGGAACAGAGGACTGGTGCTGGGTTGCGGGGTTACAGAAATTAGTTTAGAAGGGGGCTGGCTGAATTTAGAGGGGGGGTTTTACAAGCTGTGATATGATGGCTAAGGGAGATGTCTGCCTCTCCCCTATTAGCATACAACAAGGCACAAGGAATGATGAGATTGGTGCAAAGGAGGGAAGGAAGGTCAGGATCAAGTGTGGCAGGTGGAACATTTTGATATTGCATCAAAAGCATCAGATTCCTAAGAAAAGCCTTTGATTCCCTGATTGTAATGTAAAGAGCAGTGGCTTTAAACCCTCTTGAAAAACCCACCTTAACATAATCCAGGAGAGAAGAACCTCTTCTGAGTACCAGGCTTGGGCATGAAAGCACTTGTGTCTCCAGCTGCCATTATCACTGTTAAAGGAAGGACAAGTTCTAGGAAGCTGTAAAAAAATAAAATAAAATCAGGGTGTCTGCATCTCTGAGCAAAACAACTGATAGGCTGCATGTTTTTCTAAGCCCTTACCTTGAAGGAGATCATTTGACTTTAATAGGATTATTTCAGACCCTCTGGTTACAGGGTTGCAGCCCTGAGGAGCTTAATATTATCTACTGTCTTGAGGACAAACCTTCAGAAAGGTCAGCATGTTCTTAGCTGTGAAAACTTTGCATGCAGAAAATGTGAGAAGCAGCTAATGAGCAAAGCATCTAGTCGCTTCAGAAGGTTACACTTCATTTGGGAGTTTTATACCTTTACATGACTGTAACCTAGAGAGATTGGCAGGAATAGTCCGTCTGGAAAGGCATTGCTTCAGCTTTCAGGCAGGCCTTTCCAGTTTGGAAATTTGGTACAAAACTGAAAGTGTGCAAAAGCAACTGGAAAAGAAGGAAAGAGACTTGTCCATTGCCTTATTGAAATTAGTGGACCTAACATATTCATGTTCATTGAATTCAGTGGATCCACTTTGAGTAAAATTTAATTGAATACCACCCATCCTTGTGCACAATTATTATTATTCATCACTTTAAAAACTAAATGTAACCTAAAGTGACTTACAAAAAAGTAGCACATAAATTAAAGCCAACATAAAACTAAAGCTAAAAGCAGATTCATAGTCATTAAAAAGCATATTTATAAAAAGTTTCTGAAGGAGACCACAAATATCAATCCCTTCCAAATTAAAGGCCAAAGAAAGGCCTGGCAGGAGGGGGGAGGGAACCCACCATTTTTGCCTCACACCTAAAAATAGCTTGTGATGGCGCCAGGCCTGCAGATCCTCAGTAGGGCTTGTCAGCAGCAGCACATTTCTTTATCAACTTCATGTCAGGCAGAAATTCAACAGGTGGTGCACTACTTCTCACACATCTATATTCTTGGAGGGGGCGGGATAAGTGGCATCTTAAAGGCTAACTAGTTTTATTAGGGCTGATGCATTGGGTGGCAGGATCCTCAAAGATGTCCTCTATGGGAAGCTGGCTTTGGGCACCAGACTTGTTGGCAGACTAACTCTGTGTTACAAAGCTGGCAACATTAACCCCACCATATGGGAATCCCTTGCAGATGACAGCAGCATCAGGAGACAATCAGTCGGGTTGTGTATCCAAAGCAGGGACCAGAGGAAGAATGACCATTGGGAGGAGCGCAGAAAGAAGAAATGCCATGGTACACCTGCGTCAGCACAACTGGATGCCTTCATCTGCCCCAACTGCAACAAAACATGTCTCTTCTGTATCAGTCTGTACAGCCACAGCAGGCGCTGTAACTCCAATGGCTTGACCTCACCCCCAAAGGCACACTCCTCCATCGTCACCCAAGACAGACAAGTGCCAAGCATGCATTGGATAAAAGTGCCACATGCAAGACCCCTTGTTGCAACAAACAAACATGGCTCCCCCCCCCATTTCCACGAAAGGTCCCTCAAAGGGGCTATGAAACTTCAGTAGTTCTGTGCTCCTGGCTTCTTTAGAACTGCAGCCCCTTCAGACTTCAGCTGAGGGCAATCTGAATGAACAGCAAGCTGGATGCATCTGGCAAATTACCTGCTGGTGAGCAAGTTTTGCTTTGAGTGACAGGGCTGTGTGCCTGTAACCCTAAACATCACATTGAAGGCCTTTATCCTCAAGCCAAGTTTACAGATTTCATAAAGGCATTAAACAAACAGTGCAATGTTTTCACATAAACAAACTTAGCTAGCAAAAATATTTGCTCCATTTCCTTTTCCTTTCGTTAGACTTTGTGTGATTAATACCTGTGTGTCAGTTAATGTTTCCCAAAGCTGTCAGCTTCCCTCATTAGTACTTTGGTGGAAACACCAGGCCATGCAAATTACTCTTAGGCCCAATTACAAGTGGGCAAATCAAAATAGTAAGCACTGGTGAGGAATGCCAGCAGCAGGATTCCTGCATATTTAACAGCCAGGAAGAAATTCTGTACTCCTCACATATTTCTTTTCCGGGCAGAAGACAGGCAAATGCCATGCAGGCTGAGGAACAGACAGTTTATATTGTTACCAGTTTATTCTTTAAGCACAGTTGCAATCGCCTCGCAGTATAGCTCAACAGAACAAAGTTTCAGGTGACTGAGCCATGGTTTTGTGGGAAATCTGTGGGAGAAATAGGAGCATTTCACTTAAACCTGTCATCATTGCAAAACAATAGTGATACTCTTTTATCTGACAGATCTCTGCTTTCTTTGGCATTTATGATTTACATAAAGCAAGTGCCTGTTTTCTCAGCTCTATCCAAGTGCCTTCACATGTCTTCAACTTTTCTTGGCCTCTATAATACTTCCCAAGGGTATTCTCATTATAAGCTCAAAAACGGGCCTCAGCAACAAATCCGGTGCTATGTCTCTAATTCCTATCACAATACCAGGATGGCATGGAAAATATAGAACAAGTTGGACTTCTCAGTTTAGTCTTCATCATCAATGGCACTTGTGTACCTCCAGTTAAGGAAAACTGGAGATGTCTTGTTTGGATATAGTATCTTGGGTAGGGATGGAAGGATCTGTCAATGTTGCTTCTCTCAGTTTCTCATTCTTCCAATCTTAAATTCAGTTCTCCACATATCTGTAGCAATTTGTGATTTTTTTTTAATCCTCATGAAAATTCACATTTTAGTGTGAATGTCTGCCAATCTACATATTTTTGTATGCAGGTTTGACTAACTTACACATGTCTGAAAGCATTTCCCCTTACTATAATGTATGTTTGCATGTTATTTCCATATATGCATTTTATACAAGCATTCTCCTAATTTATGCACGTTTGTACACATTGGTTGGAGAACTGCATCGCAAAATCAGAGAAGAGTGAAGTCTGTAGGAAAATTGTGATTTAGTTCACTTATTGGTTCACTATGTGCAAATTAGTTTCTCATTCAAATGAAAACAAAATTGAATTTTCCCTCCATCCCTAGACCCAACCCCACATTTACTCTTAACTGCTAAAATAAGGCCTGGACAATAGAATCACAGGTAGAAGTCAAGGTTGTAAAAAGTTTGGTGAATGAGCTTTCTTTTAGATTTTTTCCCCCTTACACATGCCATTAATCTTTCAGAGAGCTTGATTTCCCTAAATACCAGCACTCTTCTGCCAGTGGTTATGGATCAGTTTGTTCTCGGGAACCTCTGAAGCATGTTGGAATGTCTGGGCTCATTTGGGTGCATTTTCTGTAGTTTGCAATATGATCTCTGAAGGCTCTGGGGGCCTAGCAAAAACACAGAAATGCCTCGAATAGATGCTTGATAATAGACTGATGCATATAATGGTGGCTTCTGTCACAGAAGAGTTTTTGAAGTCAACCTTCCCTCCCACATATGATAGTTAACTGAGCCTCAGTTAACTCACAGATAGCTCACAGAGCTATCTATTGGGATTTAAACCCCAATCTATTTTTGGACACACCTACTAGTCATGGAAGAATGGTATAGAGAGGTGTGGGATACAGCTATGAATGATAAATTAACACATGCTGTTAAGGTAAGATGGGGAATATGCAGGAGAAATGATTTTGAGGAGATATGGAAGGTATCTGTAGAATTTGTACTCTTAAAACGGAAAGGAGTCAATCCATCGCAAGAGGTGTTGAAATTTTGAGAGGTTGGATAGTTACAATGGAATGGTCTCGGGTGGGGTGCACATTTTTATTTTTATGTATTTATTATTACAGCTTTGTCAAAAGAAAAAAGAAAAGAAAACAAAGAAAGAAAACGGTTTCTCCGTGCAAACAAGGAAGTGATCTCTGATATCTTCCACGTTTTTATGTGATCTCTCACACAATGTAAGAGACACTGCTGGAAATCTAGTGCAAGGCTAGCACTCATTTCTGTGTTAATTGTTTCCAGGAAAAAAAGCATCTATTTACAACCCTGTTAAGTTGGAAAATTGGGGGAGTTTTGAATTGTAATTTCATGTGTCAAAATCTGGGCCGGTGTCCTGGCATACTTTTGTTTCCACCATTTAATATTTAATGCAATGTGGAAGGATATAGATTAAAAAGCCACAGAACCGTAATGCAACAGGTAATACAGTTTAGGAGGAAAGCTAGAAATTGGGCTAGAAGTGCAAGCATTATAACCTGACCTTGACCTCGAAAGGCAGGGAAAGAGGGAGCAGCCAAGTCTTCCAAGGCAGGAAGTCTGCAAGCTTCAGCACCACTGAGGTCTTCTCTATGTACCCTCCCATCATCCACAACAAACTACTCCAAGAGAATCAATTTGCCAAGTACTAAGGATGGTTTTAGGTCAGGCATCTGGAACATATTTGTGGGAGGTTGCGTAGTAAAATCCATATATCTGTACTAAGGCAGGGAGAACCTGTCAGTTTGGGTTTCTCTCGGTTTCTCATTTTTCCGGACTTGAGTTCACTTCTCCACATTTCCACATCAGTTTGCAGTTGATTTATTTGTTTATTTTAAAGGGATCCTTGTGAAAAATCACCAGCATTTTAATAAGACTTTCTGCTAATATACACATTTTTTGTATGTAATATGGCCTATTATTCACATTTTTCCAAAATAATTTCCCCTACCATAATATTTTTATTTGTCAGTATTTGTGTTTTCATGTTCCTGTTGCCCTCATAAATACTTTTTTGCATTAATTACTTGACTGAATAACTACATAACTACAAAGTTTGGAGACGTGCAAATTTTGAATGATGACCGATTCAGTTCGTGTATTTTTTCAGGAGGTGTGTTAGGTTCACCTTTAGATGTGAACCTTATACTCTGGTTTCTCTTCAGATCATATACCTCTGAATCTTATTTCTCCTCATCCTTGATCTCTATGGATAGAGTGTTTACACACACACACACACACACACACACACACACACACACTTCTCTTTTCATTTCCTTTTTCTCTACAACCTAGGGATTCATGGAGAAGGAATTTTAAGCCACCGATATGCAAACAATGACATTTGAACATAGAGACACATTAGGGACTGCACACCTTTGTTGCCTGAGCAAACCTGGATAAATTAAAGAGTGTGGTTGCTGCTTGTGAATGTTCCACACTCATGGTTCCCACCCAAATGGCGATGTTCCCTTTTCACATTCTGTCTAACTTTGCAGGCGCACGGGAAAGAAAACTGGTTGCATCTGGTTGAAGCGATCCAATATCAGATGATTTCTCAACTCCCCAGCGATGCACCATGCCAAAAAAGTAAATCTGCCAGACCTCCCAAGAACACCAGAGAGCTTTCCTCTCCTGCTCTCCCTCTCAGCAACAGTAAAATGGGGGGGGGGGTGAGACAGATAAGATCGCTTCTTATCTTAAAGGGGTGTCCTTAATTCAGTTACATTTTCAAAGGGAGGACTGTCTCTCAGAACCCAGTGTCCTTCTTTGGATTTGACCCTTTGACTGTTGCTTATACAGTAAAAGAAAAAAGAGTGTGGAAATGGATGATGATGATTAAAAACTCACCTGAATGGTCAGGGATGCTGGGAGTTGTAGTCCCCCATCTGGTGAATCTGACTGTAGGTTTAGAGACAACAAATCGTTTTAAAATCACCAAAGCAAGCATTCCTGTCTGCCCATTGTTGAATTCTCTTTAAGATGCTGAAAGTCACGTGAAAGGGCAATAGTTGCTTGAAATGCACATGTGGCTGCGTTTAAGTAAGCAGCACTGTGATGTGGGGAGAGTGCTGTTGTACTAATGTCCTGCTTTGAGGTTTCTCTCACTGCAAGAAGCAAAGTTACAAGGAACCAAGCAGAGGGCCTTCTCAGTAGTGGCGCCTGCCCTGTGGAATGCACTCCCATCAGATGTCAAGGAAATAAGCAACTATCCTACTTTTAAAAGACATCTGAAGGCAGCCCTGTTTATGGAAGTTTTTAATGTTTAATGCTATATTGTATTTTTAATAATTAATTGGGAGCCGCCCAAATTCTTCTTCTTCTTCTTCTTCTTCTTCTTCTTCTTCTTCTTCTTCTTCTTCTTCACATGGGCATCTTGTTCGCCACTGTGATGGGCCTTTGGTTTGACCCAGCAGGGCTCTCCTTACATTATTATGGTTATGGGATTACCAGAGAAATCCTATAAACAAGAAGCTGGCATAAAGCAAGCCAGTGCAAGTTAAACTTGTGTAAAGTGCATCTGGGGCAGGACTAAAAGGTAAAAATAGGTAAAGGACCCCTGGACGGTTAAGTCCAGTCGAAGGGGCCTATGGGGTTGTGGCACTCATCTTGCTTTGAGGCTGAGGGAGCTGGCGTTTGTCTACAGACAGGTTTCCGGGGCATGTGGCCAGCATGACTAAACCGCTTCTGCCACAATGGAACACCATGATGGAAGCCAGAGCGCATGGAAATGCCGTTTACCTTCCCTCCGCAGCAGTATCTGTTTATCTACTTGCACTGGCATGCTTTTGAACTGCTAGGTTGGCAGGAGCTGGGACAGAGCAACGGGAGCTCACCCCATCATGGGGATTCGAACCGCCAACCTTCCGATCAGCAAACCCAATAGGCTCAGTGATTTAGACCACAATGCCACTCATGTCCCTGGGGCAGGACTACTGCTGGCTGAGACAGACTAAGCTTGGCAGAGGAAAATAAAACCATTTAAAGGAGTGTTTGTGTTACACCACCCTTTTTTACCAGCTTAACTTTTGCTGTGGGTAAGGTTGCCAAGTTACGGTACATCACTGATCTGAACAGGCTTAGCATCCAACCTAAGTCTCCCCTCTGTGGTCGTGCCCTGTCCTTTTTGTGGAGGCTTACGCTAGCTTAAGATCAGCCAGGTTTGGCTCAGCCAGCTAGGTCCCAGCTCAGCTGGGTCTGGGATGGGGAAAATATGTTGTGTAGATCCCCCTGAGCCTAGGATGTGGATTTATGCTGGTATGACCCAGCTACGCCAGGAGCCTCCTGGCTCAGCTAGAGGCCCACTGGTTCCTAGCCCAACTCATCCCAGCAGATCTTGCTATATGATTGCTTCCCCAGTCACTAAGGCGAAGAAGGGCAATTTAGAGATGGGACAATTCTCCTGGATTAGTTTCATGAATGATTCCAACATATCAAGGACCATGCACAAATTTTGTAAACTGTTTCGAGGTGCTTTTTAAAAAACAACAATAATCAAGCAGTGTATTAATTTTATGTAATAAGTAAGTAAGTGTAAAAGCTGAAGTGAATTTTTAATCGGCTTTACTATTCTAACTTCTTGTATGTTTTAATGTATTGTGATGTGTTCCTGATGTTATGGTTGTATCTTTTTGTAAACTGCTTTGAGATTTTTTACAATCAAGTGGTGTACAAATTTTATTAAATAAAAATTAAATGAATGAATGAATGAATGATGTGTCACGATACCGTGTAGCTAAGACTGACCTGTGTTTCATATCACTGAAGACACTTGAGACTGGTAGGAGCAGAGCGCAAGGCAAATTAACAGGCAAACAATGTTGCAATGAATGCAAAAAGATAATCAAAAAGGGGAGTCGTTTTCCTAAACTGTATATAAAGTTTCACTCAGCCCAGTGATATGAACTATATGCCCTCATTTCATTCATAAATTCATCCAAAACTGACAATGAAAAAGGAGCCAATATTCTGTTTTGAGTATTGTGAGTAATATGAGAAGGAGAGGAACATAATAGAAGGAGTGGGAGAGAGTGAAGGGAAATAATTTTCAGTTATGCATATATTTTAATGTAGGAAATAATTCATTCTTGAGTAGCCTGTATCCCTTTGAAATCTTTAGTGTTCATATGAATAAAACATTGGGGGGGGGGGGAACACACCAAAAGATTCAGCGTCAACATTGTGTAAAGCGACTGATGACCCACTCAAAAGGCAGAGTGGAATGGATTAAAAATCTGTCATCCCAGTTAAGCAGAAAACCATGCTCAACAATGTACTGTACCTGAAAGTGAAGAAGGAATGTGTTGCTTTCCGTTCTCTTACAGGCTGCTATCTAATATGACACCCGATATTTGGAGACAAAGGATCAGCTCCGACAACAAACTACACAAAGCTTTTGGGATGTGTGCCAAATGAAATAAAAACAACTACCTGAGAAATGTGCAGCAGAACTACAAAAAATTAGACCCAGAAGAATGTCTCCCAAACCTTGGCATTGGAATTGTTTCTCTGCTGTGGAATATTGACAAAATGTCTTTTTCTTCATCTGATTTCAGCTGTGCAGCCTGCTTCTTGCCTCTGGGCATCTAAAGATGATGTTTACCTCAACGCATGTGGCTTTAAACTGATGAGTTCCTGGTGTTCCCCTTTCCTTTTGTTCATGGTTTCAACCGAGTCCTGCAGCCATTGGAATTCATTCATTTTTGATGCATTTATATGAAGGTGTTCATAGAATCATAGAATTACAGTGGTACCTAGGGTTAAGAACTTAATTCATTGTGGAGGTCCATTCTTAACCTGAAACTGTTCTTAACCTGAAGCACCACTTTAGCTAATGGGGCCTCCTGCTGCCGCCACGTGATTTCTGTTCTCATCCTGAAGCAAAGTTCTTAACCCGAGGTACTATTTCTGGGTTAGCAGAGTCTGTAACCTGAAGCGTCTGTAACCCGAGGTACCACTGTATACAGTTGGAAGGGGCCCTAAGGGTCGTTTAATCCAACTCTCTGGAGGAATCACCGTGTTTCTTGAGGAGAGAATGCCCTCAGTTTCCCACTTGAACAATTCTCAGTTCTCACTTGTACTTAATGTTGGCTTCACACATGCAGCAAAGGTGTGGAGAAGAGAGCAGGATCACACCACTAGTAGTCATGCCCCTGATATCAGCACACCTGCAGCGCTCTCTCTCCCTCTCTCTCTCTCTCTCTCTCTCTCACACACACACACACACACACACACACACACAGAGTGACCGCTTGTTCACTTTAGCATGAGGACAGGCATGGAGCCTCTGACAGTTTTTGTTTTCTCTTCCCTTCATTTCACTGCATTTCCACATAATTTTTTGTGGTGGTGTTTTAAGTTCTCATAAAAATTCATCAGTATTGTCATGTGCATTTTCCTGTCCATTTGTCCAAAAAAATGCACATTTTTGTACATGAATTTTGCCTGATCTAAACATGCTTGCAAGACATTGAATGATGCATTTTTTTGTATGCTATAGACACTAATACGTGTTTTTTTTATCCACTCTTTCCGCAGTGTACACACTTTCCCTAACAGGTGAACAGCATCACAAAATTTGGAGAAGTGTGATTTTTAAAGGATAGCTGTGTTTCAGTTTGTATACAGTTTCGGGAAATTCAAATTAAACAGTCAGTCAATCATGTTATGTGCACGCCACCTTTCCAAAGTTAAAACCATGCTCAAGGTGGCTTGCAACATGTAAAAAATAAATTAAATAACTACAAACAAAAAGCAGTCATACACAATAAACAAAACAACAAAAAGTACACAATCAAATTGAGTGATTTGCACATACATATGAGATCTAAAATAAAGATACAAAAAACCCCAGAAACAACAGCAACACCACCCAACAAAACCCGCTAAACAATACTCCAGCCCAAGGGTCTGTTCAGCAGCCTCAGCTTTTGTAGCTGGAGTCAGTTCTACTTTTTCTGCTATGTTCCATGGTAATTGTGAAGATCAACCAAGAACCACTCTTGGTGGTTGACTGTAACAATAGAATGGGCACAAGAGATGGGGCCTTCTCAGTGGTGGCCTTATAACTGTGGAATTTCCTTACAAGGGATGTGCACTTGGTTTTAAAACAGGCCTTAAATAACCATTTCCTCCATGCTGCTTTTGGCTGAAAGGATGGACTGAGTGTTTGATTATTTATACCACTGCTAGTTTTAGAACGTCTTCTTCTGAATTGTTTAAATTGGTTTTATGTAAGTGTTGTGCAGGGCTGTGCAATGTTTTTCAACTGCAGTTTTAATGGGTTAGTTTTATTAGAATAAGATGTTTTGGTTTAATGTTTTATTGATGTAGGTAAACCACCATGGGAGGGCTTTGCCTTAAGAAGCAGTCTAAAATCTTAAATAAAAACAAACACACAAACAAATCCCTTTTTGTTTCAGACTCACAAATGTCCGAGCCCAAATATTTCTCAATAGTACTGTAAAATATACTTACTTGGGCTGGCTTTTCATGGCTAGGATGAGGTAGATATGGAATAATTTTAATTCTGACATAGCATATTAGTATTTTGATAGTGATTTTATGCATGGGTTTTATCAGTTGGGGGGGGTTGTTTAGTTTAGTTTAGTATTATCTGTCCCAAGTCCTCAGGATGTGGCAGGCTAGAGAGCCAACAAATGTAATTAATTAACATTTTATGCTGAAGGAATTACCATGGACATGACCCTGCTTAAGAAGTTATGCCCCTCATGCAACAAGAGGGAGAATAGGGGGAAAACACTTGGCCCTTGTTACCTATCCCCACCATCCTTCACAAACTGGGAGCCAAATGTCTGTGGTGGGAAGCTTTCTCCACTCATGTACACTCCCCATGTTATTTAAATTCCTGATTATATAGGGGTCTAAATCAGGAGCAAGGGACGCGGGTGGCGCTGTGGGTTAAACTACAGAGCCTAGGGCTTGCCGATCAGAAGGTTGACGGTTCAAATCCCCGTGATGGGGTGACCTCCCGTTGCTCGGTCCCTGCTCCTGCCAACCTAGCAGTTCGAAAGCACGTCAAAGTGCAAGTAGATAAATAGGTACCACTCTGGCGGGAAGGTAAACGGTGTTTCCCTGCGCTGCTCTGGTTCGCCAGAAGCGGCTTAGTCATGCTGGCCACAGGACCTGGAAGCTGTACGCCGGCTCCCTCGGCCAATGAAGCGAGATGAGTGCCACAACCCCAGAGTCAGCCACGACTGGACCTAATGGTCAGGGGTCCCTTTACCTTTACTAAATCAGGAGCAGGGAGTCCAGAGACCACATTCCCTTCTGAGCAATCTCCAGAGGACTCCATGCCAGTGGTGGGTGGGGTCAGTGAAAGAAAGGGGGCAGAGAAGCACATGCAAATTTTGCATATGTGCAATTGGCTAGTTTGTACACTCACATGATTCTACTTGCATTGAGTGTGTGTATGGGTGAACTATTGAATAGGTGGTTTAGTTCTATAAGCCAAGTCAGTGTTTTCCATTGGGGGACCAGTTCACAGTTTGCTTTTTGGGGGGTGTGCACACATACAAAATGTGAAGTGTAAAGTAACAAAAATGAAAATGTCAATGCACGTGCTCTCTACTGAGATACACTCCGCCAACTAAAAAGGCATGTAGGAAATGCTTGCTGTTATTTGACAGCAGAGAATGGACAGAACATCCTAAGTTATTTTGCTTAACATTTGAAATGGGCCACAAGCAAAGAGTTGGTTGTTGTGCGTGCTGAACAGAAACAATAATAAAAATGGTATTTCCAACTTTCACAGCATGGCATGTGTGTTATGCAGCCCTGGGGTTGCAGTTATAGTCATATCTTTCAATTAACATTTTCTCAAGCTCAGACTAGGGCCTATTTGTTACCATCCTTGTAACCAAATGCACTCTTTCTTTAGGAACGCCAACACTTCTTCACGCCACAGTTTTCAGGATTTGGAAAAGAAATCCTGGCTGTATGTCAGTGTCATAGGTCTGCTAAACATATCATAATGAAGCTGTACTGTTTACTCTTCTTAGGATATTAGCTTTTGTGTGGTCCTCACGCTCTGCAGAGTTCAGCAACGCACGAGTTTTGTTTTACAGCTCTACTCATTTTGAATTGCACGAATTACGGTCTCCAAAATACTCTGAGCAATACATGGCAGGAGGTTCACTCTGCTCCTTCCAGATGCCTCTTCTGCAACTGTATGAACCTGTTTCCCTGTTTATGCATGGCGATGGGATTCTGTTCATTTCAGAGTTTATACAATTGTGGTTCGAGGACCCGACCCCCGCGATGTGAAATAAATACACAAGGACACGTGATATAAGGTTAATGGGCAAGAAAAGGCCACAACTTTATTGATTACAGCAGTGAAAAGGTATTGGCTTAGGCATTGGATGTCTAAAACAAGGGGGTTTATTCACCAGTAGGTGGAGCCTGTTGATGCTAATCCAACTATAGGCTCTCCCCTGATGTCACCGGGGTCGTGCCATGGCCTCCCGCCAAGCAGGCATCGGACAGAGTACACGACCGCCAGATTCCTTTAACGGAATACCCAAAATTGAAGGCATAGGCGATGGCCACACCCAGCCCTTCGACACACCACAACACATTATTCCAATGCCTAACCTACCCACCAATACCACAAAAAGTTGTGACGATTGCTACGAGGTAGGCGAAAAAACCAAAAGCCTAATGCCAAATGGAAAAATTCCTACCAGGCCCCCTAGACAACCAGGGCGACCAACCTAAGGTCCATAGCAAGGCCAAAGAACAAAGACCCTGAGCTAAAAGGGAGTGGAGGGTGGGTGACTCGCGACGAGAGGACGGAGAAGAATGAGGCCGAGGAGAGGCTGGCACCGCCGCAAAAGGCTGCTGAACACGCCCCCTCGAAGGCACCTGGTTGGATGCCTGCCGAGGGGGCGTGGGCGGCAGCCAGGTGAGAGGAGGAGGTAGGGGGCGAATGCCCCCTGCTAGGGGCGGTGCTCGGGCTCCCGCCCACAACCACTCCCCTCTCTTCCAGGGAGGAGAGTCTTTATATAATTTTAGATTGTATAAACTATTCATGTATATAATATAAACCAGAATGGTCCTAGGAACCACTCCAACACATGCAGTTGGATCCAGATTAAGGAAATTACTAACTGATCCCATTGATTTCAACAGAGCTAAATTCATCTGACTTAATCTCAATCCAGTCCATGGCATCCATGAGGTATCCCTCTTAGTGGTTCCAGAGATAGTTGATGCTACTCATACCATCCAACACTTTGAAGCCAAAATCCGGGATACCATTTTCCTAGATGACATCTTCCCAAATGATGGCTACAGACCCCCTGCAGCACCCTTTCTAGTGTTGCATG